AGAAAGAGAGAAAGAAAGAAGGAAAGAAAGAGAGAAAGAAAGAAGGAAAGAAAGAGAGAAAGAAAGGGAGAAAGAGGGAAAGAGAGAGAAGGAAAAAAAGATTTGCTTGTAAGACTTTATTTTTAGAATGTTTATAAACTTTCTCTGCAGAAAATTAATATTATGAAACGTAATGTTTAGTAAGTTTACGTAAGATTAAATAATGCTGTACAAATTATAAAGGAATAGATATAATTTTAAAAGAATAGATATAACTGGATATCATTTTGGAATTAATTAACAAAATGAATAGATGGGATGAAGAATTGTTGAAATAAGTAAGCGGCAATTAAAATAATTAAATTTGTAATTGGATAAATAAACTAATAAAGATTAATTGTTATAAAGTTTATAGTCAAAAAGTAAACGAATTCACGGAGAAGTTGCACGAATTGCGTGTTGCCCTCAGTGAGTTCCGTGAAATTTGTATATTTATTAGTCAATGCGAAAAATTAAGCGGCGAATTGGAAGGTGAACGTCGATCACATGCCGACGAGTTACGACAAATTAATCAGGTATAGCAGTTTTAATTTCAGGTTAAATTTCGTATGAGTAATAAGATAAGAATAAAAGAAAGTTTTTAAAGTAAAATTTGTCATGTTTTTGCGTATCAATTGATTTCATAATTGAAATTTTTTTCTATTTTGAACTTGAAATTTTTTAGAACAAAATTATAAGTTCATAAGAATGAATCTGAACTTTTGAAATTTTTCAGTGATTAATATCAGACGTACTAAAAAAGTTTTAACTGTTATGGTATGATAAAATTCACCTGATCTAAAACGTTTATAAATATTTCCAGGTAAAAATACACTTGATAGCAGTTATCACTGTCGAATGGAATTTCGTAGAACTAATACATTAAATTTTACATTCTATTTCCAAAAAAAAAAAAAAATCTGTGAATTTTATCAAATATTACTATAATTTCAGGATATAAATCATTTGGAGGATATTTTCAAAAGTTTAAAAAATGAAACTGATTCGAAAAAGGAAAGCATTACGCGGAAGTATCGTGAAATCGAGCGAGATTTAAGTCGTACAAATGAAATTTTATGCGAAAGCGGTATTCCGGAAACAGATTTGCTAACAAATGAAATGCTTTTTCCGTCACAATTTAATGAGTAAGGACTGTAATAAATTTTTATGTGAAATAAATGTAACAATATTAGGTCATTTTGGGTAGAAGTTTTTTTTTGATAGATTCTCGATTTTTTAATTAGCTGGCAGAACTTTTAGCTTCTGAAAAATTAGCTAATATGGAAATTCTAAATTAACTGTTTGCTAGAAGTTTTGCTCATAAATATGTCCTCTTCTTTAGTGTAATCGATAATAATGCAGCAAATCATTTGGCTCTAACAACACCGCTGGTCCTAAATCAATTATCGCATCTTTCATTCCTTGAAATGCTGAATCGACATCGGAATCATATTCTGGAAGCTTCCGATAGAATTTTATGTACATCATCCGGTAATGTAGCAGCTACAGCTGCTGCTTCTATGACCACTATTATGCCGGCAATAAGTGAACCAGCCAAAATGAAAGTAAGTAATTCTTACTTACAATTAGATACTTTCAGAAAGTTTTTTTTTTTTTCGAGATACAATAATTTTGAATAACATCGTGATGATTATAGTCTAGAAAAAAATTTTTTTTTTTTTGAAATTATATTAATGGAATTCAAATATTCAACTAATCTTTAACCGTACCCAGCAAAGATTTTATCAGATGATCATTCAATCTAACAGTCAGAATTGGATAATTCACAGCGGTATATTCATCAGTGATGAAGTGAAATTAAATTGAATTACTATGAAGTTGAATAAATTGAATTCCTCAACAATAATTTTTCCATCAGTTTGTAAATGATTGAAATTTGGTGAAATCATTTCTTCCTCAAATTCTGAAGGAAAATCATTTCAAAGCATTAACTTTTTTTTTTCATTTAATAAAATTTCATTTAATAAAATTTTGCAAATGTTTAAATTTGTGATAAATTACGCATTTAGTGCTGCATTTTTTTCGCAAATTTCACATTTTCTTTCAAATCATATAGCAATTAAATTTTAGCGATTCTTTTTAGTTTTTCTTTTTTTGCTCATAAAAAGGGATAATTAAATAAATTAATTGCAGAAATGTCTGTCTTGCGAACAACTTATACATCGAAATGCACCCATATGTCCACGTTGTAAGGCAAAAAGTCGATCAAAATATTCAAAAAGGTCGAGAAAATTGGAGCAATGAGTTTAAAATATTACTGATTTCTTGTTTTTCCGGTATTTAAATATTGATTTTTCACCGATATTCAGTTTAGTCTAAATGTAAATTTGGACAAACGGAATGAAAAGCCGGATCCGAATCCGCTTCGATTTTTAACTTTCTGATACATCGTTTCGATGTATAATAGTATAAATGATATTTTAGTTAATGAAAGATTTACGGGAAATTAGCCATGATTGATGACCATTTATTTGAATGTATAATTGAGATGGTCATCGAGCATGAAAGCTAGCTATTATCTTGAATTAGTTTTGCATTCTAACATACGCCTTTATATTTGGGACAAATGGCAATCAAAAAGTAACCAAGTAACTTTTGACATCAATTTTATAGTGTCACGTCGTTCTAAACATTATTACATAACTTTATATGATATCTTAATAAAATATGATCTCCAAATATTCGTATTTCTTCAAAACCAGTTTAATTTTTTTCTGTTTATTTAACTAATAATAC